CAAACGCTGGGGGGGGGGGGGGGTTGCCCCCCAACTGACCAAATATTCTCCATTTCCACGCCATTATGACGTGGTTTCCCCCTCGTTTTTGCATGGGAGATGCGTGGGTGCAGGTGCAGTCCGACTCATTCATCGGCGAGGTTCATTTATCGGCATCGGCGTCCTTCATTTATCGGCATCGGTGAAGAACGGATTCGATTCGACTCGGTCTTTTCATCTCCGCCGGGACTAAACACTCCGGAATGGAATTCAGATCGGAGTTTCATTGCTTTGTTTCCCTTTTCCCCCCCCCCCCTTGCCCCCCCTGCCCCCCCCCTGCCCCCCCCCCCCACGCCGGGATTAAAGCTCTGGGATTGGGTTTAAAGGGGGGGCAGATGCAGGAGGGATTAAATTCCACTTGAATTTTTTTTTTTACTCCGGTTTGTTTGTGTTGCGTCCTTTGTGGCTCGAGAGGACGTTTACACGGCCGTTGCGTCCGTGTCCGACTTCAGTATATTATATGTAATAATATGTTTAATCAAACTTGGAAATGCGCCGCTCCGTCCTTTACTTTCATGGAGGAGTTCTTAAAATTTAAATTTTCTAAAAATTTATTTTCATTTTTGCTACTTTGATGGATGAGAAGAGAATTGTTTTCTTTTTACAAGGAAATTTTAAAAGTAATTTTGTCTGTTGCAATAATATTTAATCTTTAGGAAATTTTCGGGCATAAATTGTTCGCTTGCATGTCTAGAAAATGTCACAGAATTGCCATGACAGTAACTCGATGCAACGAAGAGGTCATCGTGATTTAATTATAATTTAAACTCACTTTCAACCGCTATTCCCGCTTCATTTTGTGACAAACCAGCGGTCGGCCAGCGGTCTGCCAGAGGTCGGCCACTGGTGCGAATGCGACCGCCGCCGGTTCGAAAATCTTGCCAAGAATGAAGGAAAATTTGCACGGAAATCGAAGAATCGGACGGCCGAACTTCGACGATGACGTCGTCGAAAGATGACCGAAGAGAGCGAAAGAGAAAAGAAACGTTTTCGCGAGAGTCGAACGCGAAAATCGTTGGACCGGCGTGCGAACCGGCGCCGTTCCCCGATCGGCTTCCGAGCCGTTTAAAAAAAAAAAAAAAAACGCTGAAAAATATTCACCGCGATCTCGAGGAAGCGGGAGAGACGACGAGGTTCCGCGCTTTCTTCGCCGCAGCGGAATCGAACGAAATCCCCGGATGGAGGCAGGGGGTTATCGACTCGATCCCCAGCGACATCTGTGATCCGACCCCGTCGACTCCGTTCCGCCGTCTTCGAGTCGTCTCCACTCCCCGAGGCGGAGAGAACTCTCCGATGAAATTTTTTACGCGTGAAAATTGGACGGTCCTCACGCATCCGGCAGCCCGTCGAACGAAGCGCACGCGCGGACGGAAACGGAATCCGGATGCGAGAGATGGCGCTCGTGGTGGAACACGAAAGGCGTGTCCTCGGCCGCGAACTCTCACGAACGCACGTCGTGAACGCTTCGTAAACGGAAAAGATTCCGAGTCCCACCGCGATACGCTATCGATCTCGTCGAGGCAGCACACGGCTAACTACACGGCTTTGCAGATGAATTCGTACCACCTTTTCCATCTTTGAAGAGATTTTGAAAAGTAAAACTCCAGTCTTTCATTTCGTTGCGCTCGCAACTCGAAAACCGACTCGGGTGATGGTCGTTTCTCATACCGTCGAGTCCAGGACCGAAACGGGAAACAGAAGAATCCGTCTCACCTCAGGTTAGACTCTTCCAAGCGGTCGATGGCTATCTCGTTCGATTCGTCGACGCGAAACGCGACATCTGACCCGGTCCTCGGTCTTTCGGAGCATCCGAATCTTGAACGCGAATACCGGGTCGTTGATGGTAACAGTAACAGAAACGATGACAACCTCTGAAAAAGGCCTGAGATCTTCCCCTGTCCTGCCGGTCTAGTTATATTTACGATGTCTCTGCTCGGCCGTATCGACACTGGCGCCATCTCTCAATTACATTTTCGGATGAACTATTTGCATATGCGTCGCACGGTTACTGGTGATTCATTCTGTACTGCTCATATTTCTACGTTTGACGACAGCACCGTGTTCAGAAGTGATGGAAGGACCCTCAACAGGCTGTATGTAATAGATTTTTTTGTATGAGAATGTTTCGTGCAAATTTAAATCTCATATTTTATGAAAGAATGATGAAAATTTCTGAAAAACTTTTGAGATACTTGCGAATTCGGCTCTCTACCGCTAGGGCAACCCTGGCTCCTTCGGGCAACCCTGGCTCCTTCACGTCCTCGTGCCGCTGGTCTCGTGGCTTTTGTCGAGCAGGGTGTGACTTCTTCCGCTGGTGGCCACGTAGGCGCGACAGATTTTCGGGGACTTTCTTGCTGAACCATGCCGGCCGTTGCTGTCGATGCCCTTAACAAGTATCTCGAGGACAAGAGCTACATCGAAGGGTAAGATAATGCCCTTTGACTTCGGCTGGACGGTTTTGGCCAGGTCGTGTCGTTACGTCAAACTTGGGCTTAGCTCGTTCAACGTTCGGCCTAAGGCCTTAACATAGTCTGCCAGTAGACCTGTAATCTTTCGGACATTAATTTAAACACTACAATCTCGTATCGTCCATGATTGATTTAGCCTTGCTTAATCAATCTCTGGGAAATTGAACACGAAGCTTCTTTTTTCTCGTTGTCACAGGTATGTGCCTTCACAAGCAGATGTGACCGTGTTCGATGCTCTTGGAGGCACCTGCCCTCAAGCAGACAAGTTCCCATACGCCCACCGTTGGTTCAAACACATTAAGAGCTACAACAGTGGCGAGAAGTCAAAGTTTCCTGGAGTCAAGAAGCCCCTGGATAGCTTCCCTGGCTTGGCAGGCAGCGGCGGTGGAAGTGCCAAGGCGGATCAGGAAGATGATGACATCGACCTCTTCGGATCTGATGACGAGGAGGTAGGTACTTTATTCAAATGTGTTGGCTTATTGAGCTGCTTATTGGAAAAAAGATCCAGAATTTTCATTTTATGTAGAGATGCATTTAGGATTTTCATTTGGTGGGTACCTGGGAGCAGAAACTTCAAAAGTGGAGGGGTACTAGGCAAAGGGAATGTTCTGCATGGGGGGTGGGGGGGTATAGGCTTATATATTTGCCTGCTCCATGCACACACCATGGTCACAGAAATTTTCTGACCTGGAAGGGTGGATGGCCACAAATTAGGGTCATGGATGTGGGTTACTGTCACAATTGAGAGATTTTAACCCCCAAACCTTTCCCTGCTCAGGTGCATCCTTGATGTTATTGATGCCAATCTAGGCCTAAGTTATGACATGGAGGCAGGTAATGAAGGCACCAAGTAAATGTTTTTCATCCCCCTTAAAATTCTGTAGTTCAACAAATGCTAGGGTAGGCCTCTAGTTGCTTTATGACCACACAGCTGTTGTTCCTCCTTCTCTCACATCAATTAATACTTTAACAGGAAATTTATAAGGCTCCCCAATGAATTATGTTATTAAAAATGTGAGATCATGTAAAATTAAAGGATCTAAGTGCTAGGATGAGTTTCTTTCTATGAATGAGTAGCTGGCACTAGACATTTTGCTGACATGGGTAGGCAAAGGTTTGGTAGTTGCAAACATCTCATAAAGCCTTACACTGATAATGTTTTCCTTTTGTCTTGCACTGTAACCAACATTTTTTCCTAGTTGGATGAAGTTGCATTGGTGCACTCTCTTTTCTCCATCGTTATGTAATGTGAGTGACATGCATTGTAAATGAAGGCAATAGTGGAGCTGTCATGGTTAGCTATATACTTGATCCAGTGTAAGATGTGAAGTAAAGGAGGTGGGTGTGGATTATATTACAATTATTATTATCTTGTTGCATTTCTTTAATCTCTCAATGCAGGCACCTTGTAGGTGGTGCCTCAAAATGCCCTCCACCTATATCAATACATTTGGCATGAGGCTCACCACCAAAATATAGTTGAAACTCCCTTTGAACTCTGATGAGACTCTCAAAGACCTCCCTCCAGGTAGCAACATTCCTTCATTGCTCAAGCATCAATTGTGAAGCCTTTTCTTATGACAGCAAAAGCAAATTAAATTAAATTATTTATTTTTTCAGTTTCTACATTCTGTTTGGAATTAGGAGAGAAAAACATGACATTTAGAATTTTGTAAAAGAGGATTCAATGAATTGTACCATAAATTGCCCTAAAGACATGCACCTTTCTGACACGCTTTTGAAGCAATTTCTGTTTGAGTCCGATACCAAGTTGCTATTGTGAAAATGTCTAAATAACATTCTTTTCATCAATGCTAAGAAAAGTGACTTGGTTGTTGCAGTTTGGAAAATATTGCAGTTTGAAATGGTATAGTGATTTATGGGACATTCTGTAGTATTTCCTAGCTTCAATGTCCTATGAAGTGGTTGAGCCTTCAATGTTTTATTATTAAGGTTTGGAGCCATGGAATCATGAAAAACCAAAATAAGTATAGCATTCATTAGATGTGCATAGATGAGGGATTATGGAAGGAAAGGGCTGTTATCATAGGAAGAAGAGTATCCTTGCACTTGTACTTGTTTACAATAGAACTCTTTGTTGTACCTCTAATTGTATACATTTCATTCTGAGTGGCTTTTGTTTTGTGGCATATTGATGCAATCTGTTACCTCATATTGAAAAGCTTTTTGGGGCTTCTTAAAAAAGTGAAAGTTTCAAGGCCATAATCAATCACTCTTTACAGTGCTAAATGCTCAAGTGTAAAGGAAAGGGATCTGTGTATGCAATAACCTCTTGGAAGTTAACACTTTCAATCCAATGGATGTAAATGCACATCCTGCCCTAACTAGCATTGGACAATGTTGAATGCCATAGTACTTCCTTTGAAAATTTTCACATTGTTTTGTAGTTTTCCAAAATAAAATAGATACCTTATACTTCAATTTCCAAAAAAGTGTAAGTCTCTAATATTTTGCATTCTGAAGTTATAAAATATTTTTTGCAGACTTCAAAAAACTGTCACACCCTCCAGTGCAAAAGTGTTAACCCCTTAACTAGGTTAGACACCTTTTGACATCTGATCTCCCATAGGTTAAAATGCATTTGGTGAAAAACTTTCTAGTTGAAGGGTTAAGCTTGCACCACTGTTGTGATGATCTCATCCCACCATTGCTTCACAGCCAAACTTCTAGGAATTCCCCAAAATAAAAAAATCAACAGAGCTAGGTAATGATGAAAATGGCATGAATTTAAATATGTGGATTTTCATTTTTTAGTGGCCTTTAAACTTTCTGATGAACATATTAAAGAAAAGCTGGTACCATAAACAAGATAACATGTGAGATTTTTTACAATAGAATTATCTAAAATTGTCATACTATGCCATGCACAACTCAAAAGGCTGTGAGGACCATTTGCAATTTTTACTCACCTACTGCAGGCCACAGTCTGGCTGACCATAGATGTGGCCTACAGGGCAGGAGCCTTAGTAGAATTTACAATGCCATCAGTCATGGCGGGCTGCAGACAAGGTCCTTGCAGGTTGTCTGCTGCCCACAGGCCGTATGTTGTATGCCCCTGCACTACACCAAGGTATACTTCATAAATTGAGTAGAGATATGAAGTGGGCAAGATAGATCAATGAAAAACTTGCTTAAGCTCCAAAGAGGCTTCATCTCTCAAATACAGTGGCCCCTGAATACATATTTAATTTCATTCTGGTGTTTCCAGGACTCTGGAAACAAATGAGTGTTTATGAAGAATTCTGTTCAAGTATGAGTTTTGCGAAAACTAGCAATGCTTAATAATAAAAAAAGTGAATTTCCACATTGTGAAATTAATTTAATGTATTTTAGAGCATTGCCCACTACTGATGATGTTCCTCTCTCATTAAATAATGCATATTTTTTTTGGTCCTGAAGTCTTGGTCTTTTTAGGTGAGTGCTGAAGGACATAGCTTCCTGCTTATAGCTGGTGGTTAATTGAATTTAATTTCCAGTAGCTCTGCCATTACCATATACTGTGATTGTCAAATCAGAAATTCTGATTTCTTCAACAGTACCAGTATGACTTAATATGCTTTTTCTTGAACAGGATGCAGAGACCCAACGGATCAAGGAAGAACGTTTGAAGGCCTATGCTGATAAGAAATCCAAGAAACCTGGGGTGATTGCAAAATCAAGTGTTGTGCTTGAAGTCAAACCATGGGATGATGAAACTGACATGAAAGAGCTGGAGAAATGTGTACGATCTGTCCAATGTGAAGGACTGATCTGGGGTGCTTGTAAGTGTGATAACTACTGGTATGGCAATGTTATGTCTTTACTTCATCCTCATCAGAATTGCTTTCTCTTATAGCAAAACTTGTGCCAGTCGGGTATGGTATCAACAAGCTGCAGATCATGTGCGTCATAGAAGACGAGAAGGTCTCAGTTGACTGGATGCAGGAAACAATTCAGGAGTTTGAAGACTTTGTCCAATCAGTTGATATTGCTTCCTTCAATAAAATATGAATGGCCTATTACAGCAAGAAATAAACACAGACTGCTCAGATTCACTTTGAAGTCTTCTTCTGGAAGAAAACACAAGCAAAATATAAATAAATTAGTTATTCTTTTGCAATGATGAGTAAGGGAAGACATGAAAATTCAGTCACAATATATAGAATCTGTCAGAGATGAGGTCTATGATATTCATTGTGGTTGCTGAGCCCTCTTCTGTTTGACTGTCTCAGCAATAAACCGAAACCTCTGCATGCACTCCTCCTACAATCAAAGAAAGGATCAAACTCAAATGTGATTCAACTAAGTGTTAGTACCTCTTTACCAGATGAAAGCTATGCACATATTAGGAGATATATGTTGTTTACAATGCTGTATACTTGGAAAAAAAAAAAACTTTCCAAGTATTACTAAGAAGGGATTCTCCTTTGAAGCAGACAAACCAAAAACTGCAACTTTCAAGACACTCATAACAGGTGTTTGGAATGAGAACAGTATGGCCCCAAGTTTCCTGTCAGGCTCATTTGCAATGTAAGACTGGTGTTAGTGGACCCTGAAGAATTTGGGATCAGAGAAGGTGAATCTATTTTACACGTGGAAGTGTGTCACTGAACAATTTTACAAACCAATACCATCTCATTTAAGAGAGCTCAGTAAGCCCCTTTGAACTCCAATAATAAACAAAATGTTAGTTTTTAGCCACAATCTCACCTTTGATTTGCCTGGAACACAATTGGAAATCAGCTCCCATCTCTCATCTGTTCCCTTGGGGAAATGAATGAGAGCTGCCTCTAGGGCCTTTTGCTGGCTTGCAGTCCATGTGTCATTCTTGCTAGATTCACTTGGCACAGTCTCTGGCTTTCGAGTCTTCACTTTTGGTTTTTTCAACATGATCACCTCTTCATCTCCATCCACTGTGCGAATAGTCATGGTGTTCTCTGTGATCTCCACACACTTCTCTGGCTCTTCAGGTGGTGGCTTTGGACGTAGGGCATCATCTTTGAACCGTTTGGCCATGTGGGTAACTTCATATACAGTTCTATCCATGGCCTCTGCGATCTTCTCCCATCGTCCGACCACACCTCCAGGGTACTTCTTCATGAGTCGAACCAAGGTGGCAAAGTCCTCATCTGTCCATAATCCACCCTGTCTCTCCTCTCTTTTGAAAGTCCTTATCTCATCATCTTTTTCTTCAGTTTTTTCCTCATTTGTATTACTTGCTTCATCTGAACTAGACCCTCCTTCGTATTCGGGGATCTCAACTTGACGTCGCCTTGGTCTCTTTTCCCTCTTCACTGCAACATCCTCTTCTTCTTCACTTTCATCTGTCTCTGCCTCTTTGAGGGCCTTTTGTTCCCGCCATGCACGGATCATCTCTGGGGCAGCTATTGCACTGCACCAGATTCCCTTCGCCAACAGGAATGGCAGCAAGTTCCAGAACCTGTCAAGTAAACCAAAAATTAGGCCACATATATGGAGACATTACTTTGGTTGACCAGAATATCTCAACTCACCTGGGTCTAGGAGCACTTTCCATTAAATTTTTTCTGAGATCTTCCATCTCCTGATCTATGATTTCACTTCTCTTTTTCCCACGCTTTTTCCGCCAAGATTCCATTTGCTGATCCTGTAAGCATCCATGGGGATGCAAATGCATTATGATCAATACCTAGTATTGATGAACCTGCCCATGAGTCCCAATTGCTTATAATTAAAGCAAAATAATAATAAAATCAAAATAAGTAGAAATTCTTTAATAAGTTCTAAAATATTTATTGATTATTCAAAGTACAAAATACAACAATCTTGAAAGAAATTCTTTCCTTTGTAATTACGTCAGTGTGAGCTCCATCATGCGTATGCACTATCATAACTGATTGAGACTTACAGTGTGGACTGGAAATCATAACATTCTTTCTCTCTGTATAACGGACTCAAAGGTCATCACCAACAACGATATTTGCAAAATAAGAAGGAAATCTTCCAGCAATGATGGTAACATCAGCAAGCTTTACTTGTCAATATAGGTATGGCAGGTGTACTCTGATATGGCTTGGGCTGCATTATTGGATTAAAAAAAAAACAGGTTATATCATGAGAATATTACTATCCTTCTATACAGCTCTCAGGTGACCACAAAAACTTCTTCACAGTTCATAAATTTAAGCATTTGTCATGCAACTGATATCAGAGCAGTAGCTTCCAGTTTTATGCCTATTGTGAAGACCAGATCAGTGATTTTTTTTCAATTTAAGAATAGAATTGAGATTTTCATTGACCTAGTGAGAAGAATGGGGATAAACTCACCAGGTTAAAAAAGAGGCATATTAGTACAAGCACATTAAAAAAAAAAAGAAACAGAAATGGAAAAAATCCACAATATGAAAAAAAGGATTTGAGATGTGTCCTGGGACTGAATTGTCATTATACCACAGAAATATATCAACTATGTCCCTTTAAAGCAGTACAAAGGATGAACTCATGATGCATCAGAATTATGTGAGCCACCAGACTACGATCATCAAGAGCAACATGTTAAATTACTGGAAGTACTAACACTCAATTAAGAAAGGTCTTTGGGCTCATTAGGTGATGGGAAACTGTGATGTCATTCTTTGAGAAAACACCTGAGATGAGAATAAAATGTCCACCAAAGACAAAAATGAATATGAATATGAAACCTTGATTAGAAACAAAAGCATGATTAGTCTTGTCATAGTTTCTAAAACATAACTAAACATAAATAATCTAATTGGAAAAACAAGTAGAGATTCATCAGCTCCATATTATTCTCAAGATTCAATATTAACAAAGACACCTCATGCTGGCATCACCGTTCCTATTATTGAGAACAATCATACACTGGTTAGTTGAGGTTGGGTTACACGGCAAGTTACAAAACAAAGTGATTGATTTGGGAATTGTCTGCTGCATAGCTTAAATGGGAACTAAAAGAGCTAAAAACTGTTACCCTGATAATCCTAATAGTCAGAGTTGACACATTGGCAGGCAATTACGTGTATAACCTTATGAATGAGTTAAATAACATTAATGCAGTACAGGAATTCAAGATTTCCAAAGATTATGTCAAGGTACATACCACTGCTAACTTCTTCTCCCAGTATGCTGCCCATGACATCAAATAATGCCCAATTGTGCAGAGAACTGAAAGGAAGATGGCCAACTCTCCCATGCCCATTTTTCGAACTCGTCTGAAGTAATACACTGGCATCCTCCATGTTGGCAGGCCCTCGATGAGGACTTGATCGTACCGAGCTCTCCGCTTCTCGTCTCGGAGAACCTCGTATACTGCTGCCAGCTGCAATGAAATGTATGGCTGTTACACTCATTTCAAGAAACAAGGTCTAAAATAGACCAAGGTTCATGAAATGCATGGGATTATACAGGGCTTCTGAACAGGCTGTGATAGTCATGTGGAAGGAAATACTGCTTCAATGAGTTGGTTTATTTCAATTTATGCCAACTGTTGCTATGACAAAAAAAAAAATCAGGAAAGGAACCTTCTCACTGCTTCATCAAAAGATCATAATTTGCACTTAATCTGTAGCCAATACTATCTCCCTGTAATGCCACCTCTATATCTCTGCCATGAACATGATGTGGCCTGTAGAATAGTCAAAAGGGCTTTCAAATTAAAAACCCCTGGAAAGACAAGCCAGGGCATGCATTCCATTGGCTAAATCTCAACCAATAGCCCAAAAAATCCATTCAAAGCCATCACAGCATCTCTCCATTAACTGTTATCCTTGTTTACCATTCCATTGAAATTCAATATGGGCTTCACCCACAAGTGAAGTACACAGTTTTTGGATTGAATTCATAACTCATCGCCTATAGTGGAGAATAGAGTAAGCACAACTTCCAGAAAATCCCCTTATTCAGATGATCCATAAAACTATCCATGTGGAAGTTGTTCCCACCTGTAGTCGATAGAAGTATTCCTATGGTGGAATACAAATTCACAAATTCAATCTGAAAACAGTGTAGTTCCCTCACTTACAAGGGATGTCACCTGAAGAGCTTGACTCATTGCTGTATCCTTTTGTCATCACTGATGTGATTACAGGAACTTTAGATTTATTTTCCCTTATCTTGTTCTGAATATCATGTCAAGGAACTTGAGCAACATTCGCCTTCTCGAAGTTAATGGTCCTGGCTAAGTCAGTGACTGTAGCATATATCAAGTAGTTTCAGCTTCCACCATATGGGATTTCAATCCTTAGTCACTTTACTGGCTCTTAGGCCACGTTTGATGTGGTGTCGGAAACAGGGTATGTGGTGTAGTCATTCCCGAAACATAGAAAGATGTTATCATATGCTGTATGACCGAACAAATTAAATTAGGCCTATTGGGCCGACGCCGACAAAGAGAAATGATTCTACTCCTATTTACCTGGCGAAATTTGATTTCTGCATCAGGTGCATCGTTCTTGTCCGGATGAAGAACAAGGGAGAGTTTCCTGAAAGCTTTCTTCACCTCAGTGCTATTGGCTTCCTATAAGGGGAACAACAGACGAGGAATAGTAAAAGCCGATCCAGATTTGGACCGACATGCTAAATGTTGGCGGGTTAGGCCGAAGTCAACCTTGTGGCTTAGGCCGGAAAAAAATACCTTTGGAACTCCGAGTAACTCATAAAAATTTTGATTCACTTCCTCCACGAGGTCGAAGAGTTCGAGTTCTTCCTGGAACCAGGCATGAGAGGGAAGGGGAATGAAAATAAAAATACTTAAATAAAGCAGGAATGCCACGTTTCCTCCACTGGCAGCTGCCATGACCGATTGGGGATAGGGGATGCAGGGTTGCCACATCGTATTTCCTATCGGATTTTTAGTGTGTGGCTGGCCCAGATGATTACGTGGAGGTCCAATCCCGTTATATCCTTAAAACATGTAATTATAACGAGGCAGGAGCTGCCCGGGGCAAATGCCCTGAATGATGTGATTGTTTTCAATTATTACCGTTGAGCTGAATGAAGGAATCGGCGACAAAATCAAAACACAATTTAAAAGAGAAACTTTTCATTGCATGAGATCAGTTCTCGGACAGAAATATAAGCCACAAAAATAATAAGAGCAAATATTCTGAAACAGAGCTTTATAAATAAAAAGATAAAGAGCATTACTTTGCTTGGAATAATGCAAGCATCTTCCATGCAGTCACAATGGCAAAGTCACAGATGAGCAAGTCTGTTCTCCATATTTCTGGACAACTCAGTAGAGGTTGATTTTTTTCATGATGGGCGTTCGACACATGTGGCAGGTGGTGAGCGTGTGGGCACAGACCACACAAGCACCATGCCCACAAAGGAATGCAACATTGCGTCTCCTTTCCATGCAGATGGAGCACATGTGATACTCTTCCATTTCAGCCATTCGCTCCTCCAAGTAGCGCAACCTGTCATTCCGCTTCACTGGGCGTCCATCTGAGAAGAGGAAGCAATCCATTTCATATGGCTTTTCCTTGAGTAATAACAAAAACAAAATACCCCAACACATACCAGAAATAGAAAACTTCTTAACAATGATGGTGGAGCACACAATGCATTTCTTCATCCGGACACAACACTCTTCACAGGTGATGGAGTGTCCACATGGTTCAAAGCGAATGTTGCTCTCAGCCTCACAACAGACAAGACATTCCTCGGGCCTCTTCTCCACCTTTTCGATGCACGGTTCGGGGTTTGACGTCTTGGAAGTACCACATGCTTCTGTCAGCAAACGACTAGAACGTGGGGCGAGAAAATGAGCATGGTGCTTTAATATGTCATGTATTTGACTTAAACCATAGAAGACTGAGTAACTCTGAACTGACCTGTTCTTCAGACTTGAAGGAAGAAAAAGTCTGGGTGTTTCACCCTTGGCATTGGCTAAGTCTGGATTTGCTCCACTGGCAAGTAAGAACTCCACCACCTGTCGGGGCTATGGTAGAAAGATGATAAGACTTAAGGCAATGTAACTATTGAATAAAATCAAACATCCTCGATGGGAACCTTCGAGTGTACCTTATCGTAAGACGAAGACTCGTCTTCCTCCGCCTGAAGACGTGTGAGAACAAGATGGAGAGTGGAATTTCCCTCTTCGTCCACAGCATTGACATCAGCTCCATGTCTGAGCAATGCAGCACCAACAGGAATGTGGAACTGGGTGAGTGTCAGCATCAAAGGCGTCTGTCGGCGGTTGTTGCGCACGTCCACCTCGCACTGAGCGACTCGCAGTAGCCGTTCTGTGATCTGTAGATGTCCATTCAGAGCTGCCAGATGTAGAGCAGAGAATCCATCATCTTTCTTGCTGTTGACCAGCTGGGGACTCGACTCCAACATCTTTTCCACTGCCCTGAAATGTCAATCATTTTTTTAGGAGGCTTTTAATATGGCATGTCCTTCAAGAGATTCACTAGTTAAAGGGTGAATTGCAACTTACATGGCATTCCCTTTGAGTGCAGCATGATGCAGTGGATGGAAGCCCCTACGATTGCGAAGCGTAACATCAATTCCTGGTTTGGATAAGAGGAGTCCAAGTATGGCAGGAGATTCTTTCCCAATTGCATCATGAAGAGCAGTATCCCCATAGCTATCCTGAACGTTGACATCAATGGTGGAAGATTCATTGAGGAGGACTTTCACACATCCAACCAACTGCTTATTGACGGCGACGTGGAGGGCTGTACAATGAGCCGTATTCACAGCATTGACGTCTGCTCCTCTCCTCAGGAGATAACTCAGCACCTCGGGTTGATCACTAGAGAAGGTGGAGAATCCACAAGTGAAATACTTGTCTGAGCTGTGTTACATGAACTATCTATAAAACAAACTGCACATATTTTCTGCATTTCCCTTAATGTATAACCCAAGTCAATGTAATCCTTTTAACAACCACTACCAATACTTTTGACAGTACCACTGAGGCAAAACAAAATAACAAAAAGCAGCACCCAACTTTCTTACATAAAAAGGGCAGTCATAAAGTTTATATGGTCACAAAGTGGTACTCCAAATATTCAAAACAGGGGGAAATGGCAAATTTTTACCATATAACAACATCAATAAAAGTGCTATTTTCAAGGAAATCTAACAATTCATTTCTTCTTTTCCTGGTGGTAAAGTTTGCTGTGTTTAGCATACTGCCAACTGCCAAGTGATGGGTAAGTGAGAACTCAAGCACTCCCTTTGTGGGCACCACTATCCCTCTTGAAGTGCTATTTGAAACATGCCCTGCAGTAGTTCTGGCACACCAACAAAGATACAATCAGCTAGTACTATCAAAAGTGAATGAAAAGATGCAGTCTTGCATTGGGAAGCAGAGGATTATGTTGAAAAGTTAATGATACATACTAGAGCTATACAAAGTACTTAGTTTTATTGATCTACTATGGAAACTTTTTGACTGCACCTCATATAAGAGTCCTAGGAGCTTTGAAACATTGGAAAAGTTTGAGCTCCAGAGCAGAATGTGACTGTGCAAAATGAATGAGTCTGTAGGCACCGATATGCAGGGTGGGCCAAAAAAAAAACCAAAGATACCATTTTTTATAAGTCATCAATCTCTTTGTAGCCTGATGATTTTCATTAAATTTGATAGAATTTTAGATTGACACAATTGGAGTTTGTATGCCAAATGTTAGTTTTCTGGCTCTAAAATTATAAGAGCTGTAATTATTTTCTGATGAGCACCCACAAAATGTGCTCTTGAAAATATCAATATGAACTGGAGGCTGGGATGAAAGGAAGGTCAAAATTCATGAACTTCCATCCCTGCATGATGCTATGAAGGAAGATTGGGAGTTATGTCCTCAAAGGTTTATTGACTGAGCCATTAATATGTGGTATCGCAGACTAGAGGCTAGAGTTTAACAGAATGGAGGGCACATTGAGCACCTTTTCAGTTTAAATGAAAGTCCCTAAACCAAATTTTGGGCCTTTGTGTTTGGCATTTGTTTTCATTCTGTTTTTTTTTTTCCTTGCTTGTTTTTGTCATTGTGAAAGATTTTAAGCTGAAAGAAAAAATGAGCACATACTTTTCTGATGATGAAATGTAAATTAAATGCCAATCTCACAGTTCTTGGAAAATTTATTAGAAACTTAGCACACAAACCCTAATTGAGTAACCCTATGTGTCAACCAAAGTCAATAAAAATTGGCAACCTAAAATCAGATTGACAACTTCCAAAAATGATAGCTTTGTTTTTTTTTTCTGGCCCACTCTGTATATGTCAGTAATTCAAAAGGGTTTTTGATCCTGAGACATTCTTACATCCTTCAATGAGTTAAGTGTTGATATAACAGATTTGTGTTATTAGTTGTATCACATATATACATTTTTTAACATAGAAACATGTTGGTATTATTCTGTCTGCACCTGCCCAACATTTCCAGGTATTCCATGTTCTAGACACAACACCAAATGAAGATTAAGGATGGACATGGATGCAACATATGGTTGTAATATGATTGGTGGAAGAAAGTGGTTTCTTGTTCTTCATTAATAGGAGTAATCATGATTCAAGAATATCAAGAATTGGAAATTTTCCTAAAAAAAGAAAAAAAAAAGGAGTTGGGAACTGGATTTTGACAACCTCATCCTGCTGGAAGCTCAGAATAATCATGACAGCTGAATTGGAGAGATTGTATCACACGAAATGAAAACATGAGGCTCATCCATTACAAAATGAGACAAGGGAAAATTGATGGAACTAAAATGACTTCACCATGAAATGAAAATTCAGGCTTTAAGAATGAGTGTTTCAATATGAATGACAGGATCTTCCCAAAAAAGATACAGGTTTTGATGTTATCATGATCGGGCAACTCTCACAACTCTTTTCATTTACAAACTTGCATCAACCCCCACCTCCTTAACCCTATGCTCTGAAAGAAATTATTCTGCAGTTAAGCTAGCGGTTGTAAGGAAAAGCACTTACCCAAAAGAAGCATAATGTATAGGTCGATCTCCTTCAGCATCACGAACCTCCATGTTGGCTCCCTTAGATAAAAGGAATTCTACAATGGGGAGATGACCCTGATGACACGAAACTTGCAGGGCCGTTTTCCCTCGACTCGGAGCATCCACACGCTCGGGATTGATGTTCACAATGGCTTCAACCCCTTCTAGGTTGCCTTGGGCTGCAAGGGACACCAGGCGATCTGGCATTGAGTCTGCTGCACCACATGATGACTGCAGCAACTGGGATAAGCTCTCCAAGGGATCTAAAAATCCATGTAAAAAGTGAGGTCAAGAATCCTTCTCTAGCCCAAGGAACCTGGAACTAACACACTTGGATCTGACCCCAAATAACTGAGACATTGATATATTGCTGGTTTGATTCCAGTCTTGGTCATATTCTCATTCATGCAGAGCAAGTTCAAAACTCATAGTTCAACCCATAGTTTTGCATAAGCTGCTAGGAAGAGGGAATTGGATTCCTGAGTCGCATGAGATAAAGTGACTCTTTGATTTCAAGGATATGATTGGAATCACCCTTAAAATGATACATTATGTTAACAAATCCATAGTCTGGAGGTCATGAATGTTCTCCCAACAAGGGAAGTGGTAAAAAAAAGAAAAACCTATTACATGCTATAGCTATGAACAGGATACAGAGGTCTTGCACAATATTATATACTTCATGTATGAATGAGATATTCAAACCTTCACTTCATAAAGCCTCTCTCTAAGAAATGATGCACTTTTTCAAGAGCAAGACCATAGGTAAAAACCAGTACAGAAATGGAAAGCATAAAAAAATTCATTGCTTTTGGTTTTCATGTGTGAAATTAATGGTATCAGAAACTGCAGAGAAGCAGAACTTCAGGAAAGAGGCCTGAATATCTCTTCCCTAATTCTCATGTCTAAAAGGAATCTACATGTTTGAAAGCCTCAACAGTAAAAGTGCAAAAGGTTTAGCATTTTTAATGCCTTTTCTGATGTGATACCATCACTTCCATCACAAAAGGATTTACTTCAATGAATAATGATGCATTATGCAGAATTATAATACAAACGATACAATATGAACAACATTTAATTCCAAACCTGACCTTCATGAGTCTTACAATGAATCAGACTTAGGAAGTATTCTTAGATCCTGGATAAATTAAACATACTATTATGCTGCTGCTGAATACAAGGAGCATCCATGGAGTTGCGAAGGTCAAGAGAAGAGCCAGGAAGAAATGAAACACAAAGTGGGTTCAACGTCCAATCGTGCCCGCTAACAGTGACGCGAAGATCTCCATCCTCATACAATTGTATCACTTTCCCTGCTCGTCCAAGTGCCTGGAAATGCATGGAAAAGGAGAACAACTCCTGTAGCCCAAATGTCAGTACATATACCTGAAGAGTGACAGAATAACTACCATTTTCATGTCATCTGTCCATTCCCCATGGCCACGCTGCAATCGCCTGACCAGTTCTTCATCATCCGACACTCGAACAACATCGCCGATGGAGAAACTGTCGGGGACTCTCATGAGCACAGAAGGATGGTATGTCCATCGCATGGTGGGATTTTCATATTGCACACGGATATCACCCTTATCTGTAACTCGATGGACACTCCCGACCTTCCCAATATACTAGAAAAAAAAAAGGATAATTTAGCTAGGGTGTAGGAAGAAGTTTGAAGGAAGCATGAACAATATCAGGCAACCAAACCTGCATCATGAGAGGATTCCAGCCTCCGTGACCTTGCTGCAGAGTTTTCAGTCGCTCCATGCTAACACACGTCTGCACTTTCTCTCCCACTGCAAAAGTCCCTCTACCACATGTGGTCACTCCTCTTCCCAATGTTGAGTCCACTGGTTTCCCTACACAACAAATACAACATGAGTGAATTCTAGGAAATCATCACAATTTACAAAAGATTAATCTTTATGCTCTCACCTAATACAGGAAGACTTGATTTATAGTAAAAGCCACCAGATGCAGGCTGAACCAGGAGAATATCGACCTTCCCTTTGTGTCCCAATCTATATACATTTGTGTTTCCACATGACCACATCACATTTGCAACCGAGCGTCCGCTTTCACTGTCCCACCCTCTGATGTCCAGGACAGAGCCTATCTTCCCTGAAATTGGAATACAAAAATAAACAGAATCATTAGGCAGACCATGAAGAATTTAGCCAGCACCCCAAACTTAAAGCAGTCCAAAACAAACCTTGCCCTCCATCCTGATTTCCCCAATCCCAGTTTGGGCCTCGGATCACTTTTGCTGAAGGAAAGATCCCCTTCAGTGGGATTCTCACACTTTCTGCTCGGCTAGGTACTTCGACCCTGGAATGTACATAGCAGGCAGAATCATGCATCATGAATCAAGCTTGCCTAATTGAGGTAATTGGCAATACAATTACTATGGGGTATATTGACTAATGGGTATCATGAAAAACCTCTACTACATAGGCCTAGATAAACAGAAGATTTAGCCTGAGGCATACCCTTGGCTAAATGGAGAATCAAAACGGAAGAACGGATGATTCAAATCGTGCTTGTCTCCCATATAACAGGCCATACATAGATCGAAATCATGGCATATTTTGCATTTCCATCTCAGACCCTGGATACCTTGCCGCTTGCACGAATCGCAGCTGAAGTTGGGGTGCTTCACTCCTGTTCGGGGGAGGTGGAAGCAAAAAATTTTTCACAGAAACAGGACTAAAGATAGATATTTTCTTGCTGAAGGCAAGACTGAAGCTTACCGACTGGCGCGTTGTCCCAGATTAACAGATCGTAATAGTTCTGATAACCGATACGGTAATTGCTCAAGGTTCCGCAGTCCCATTGAACCATAACAGTTTTCTCCCTTCCTATTTCAACGACCGTACCCACGAAGCCCTCGCCGCCATCCTGATCCCCCCACTCCCAGTCAGGGCCTCTCACCACTCTTATTCCGACTTCCATTGCCGACCGTGAACTACGACCATCCGGAACAACCTCACTGAACCTCCTCAAGTTACCCAGAGGGGAACAGTTGAGACACCAAGGGCCTGAAGAGGTAAACGCAAGTAGCCATCTTAGACGTACGTCACCGACCACACTGACGTCATTGTGCACATGGCGCCGCAGAGCGCCCATATTTGATGGTCAAGCTTTTTAGGCAGTTTAGACTGAATTAACTTTTATTTGAAATGAGTTGTCGTCCCATTAATTGGTCTGAGCACAAAATAACGTGCATGTGTGGCGTTTGGTGTGTGCACTGAGCCAGTAAAGTGTTTGGCCAATGCAAATTGGATGTGTCATTGAGCCTTCAAGAAGAAGATAAAGGATATATCTTCAACAAAATGGTCTGTCGCCTTTGGAAAAGGCCATCTAAATCATTTGAAATGCATAGCAGGACGACACATTATATTATTACACGAACCCCGCATTTCTCTGCATTCCAGCAGTTATTATCTACATCATTGGTGCTGCTCATCTACCTTTTTGGTATAGTTGCATCATTTAAAGCTCCTGATGTTGATTCTGCTCCTCTTCCTTTCGACTTGTTTTTGCCAACTCACCAACTACATAGAATGCTTGGTGCGTTTTTTCCCATCAATCTTTGATTCATATGAAAATTATTGGACAAAATTGCTTTGCCCTTGTATTTTCATTAGTCATTGGCCAAAATTAAATATTATTTTCTTGTGCAGAGCTATTTTTGACTCATTTCAAGAATATATTACTTGTAAGTCTAATCCGATTTGTACAAGAAGCTGATTTTTATTTATTTAAGACAGATATCTGACCCTGAAGGATTCCATGAACTCAAATACTATTTTTTTTAATTTTCTGCCATTGTAGGAAGCAAAGAACTGCCAATAGCATGTATTAGAATCCTCATAAGAATTTCCTCCATGTGTTGAATGGATATGTATAATATGCACTTAGGATTTGCTTGCATATTGGTCCATTTTCAGGCCAATAAGAAATGACATTTCCTATTTGCCTGGAACTTCACATCATATTTTTTTTATTATCAGCACCATATCAAGAAAATTATTTACTCACTCAAGCTATGATATTCTGCAATCAAGGAGATTTCTTATACAATTGAATAAGTCATAAGTAAATAAAAGAAGTGAGCCATGTGAATCTTGTAAACTTGTCTTCTGAGGAAAAAGGTATTGCAGTAGTAGTGCTCCTCAACTACTTCTATCCAGGATGTTGATACTCTGTACTCTTCCTAGACTTGAACACGACCTTCAATTCATGGCAGCAAAGCTCATAATATGGGTTCTTGTAACATGCTAGTTTTTACACTCCCGAGTTATGTTTAGGTCTATGCTGATGAAGATAACAGGAATATATTTTGAAGTTGATTTTCATTCAACTTAGATCATATCTGTTGTGGATCCTCACATCAGTATTTATGATGTGGCTGGTCATATGTTTTTGTGAAGGTGGTGGTTATATTGATGAACCATCCAAAAGCCAAAAAATTGTCAACCCTTTCAGCATTTATATCTTACTAGTATGAAAAAAAAATTATTTAAGTAATCTGGCATGTACTTACTTTTTTTATTAATAAAAACTGGTTTCCATCAATAAATTGTTCATTATCATGTCCATAGAATGACTTTTTGCTCTCCTACAGTTGTGGACTGAACATTTGCATTGATGATTTCTTTGAATTTATTAGGATATCAAACGTGGATTTTTATTTAAGCACAAAGATCATATCTCAGGTCTTTCTTTCACATTTGAATAAGAACTTCATGATCGATTAAGATGATGGAATTGTTCAGTAAAATGTCTTGATCTCAATACTTGGGTCCAGTCCTTTTCACTGCTGTATTCTTCTGTAGGAGTTAGTGCTGAGCTGTTCTACGTTCGGAATGGGAAGGTCAACAATTATGCTCTTGCTTTTAAAATGCCTGTCCCTCCTACCCAAGAAGAAGTCGTCTTCCAATGGCACATGAAACTTCCGCAACAGGTAGGCCTTTGGTTGCAGGCAATGGATTATGCTTGCCTTGAAAAACATGAGAACAAGGAGGGAAAAACTTGCTTGAGGAGAGTCTGATGGTATGCTGGTATATTCTAGGTTGTCTATGAGATCTCATTGAATGCATCTGATGCATTGAGGGAAGGAGCCTCAGTGAACATAAGTTTGACAGGGGCTCTGCCGACATCCTTGAAGGCATTCTCGGTGGCCATGAAATGCAAAACACCCTCTGCTGATTCCCAGTCAGTTGAAGTGGGCATTAATATCTCCTCCATTGGATTTCTGCAGATGCAGTTCCAGAAGTCTTGCTTAACTTCAGGTACTGCTACTAGAAATATTAAATAGAAGCTCTCTCATATTGTTACAATGGAAAACATGAAACATCATGAAGCTAGTTGAGAACCTATCAGATCGCCTCTTCTCTTAGCTGTGATTGGAGGTGATGAAAAAGCTGCTGAGAACATTAATGAGGATTCATGGATGAACAATGGGATCATGGGGATTATCTATCAGGGTGTATGCCTTGCCATTACCACTTCTGTTGCATTCTTCTGTACCCTTTTTACGGTGTGGATGGTCCGTCGAAAGCACGACTTGAAGCTTCCTCAGTCAGTTCTTTTGTCTTCTTACTTTTCTATGGACTGCATTGTGAAGTGTGGAAAAATTGAACTTCATCTGGTATCTTCTGTAGCCAATCTGGGCAGAGTGAAGGAGGGGATACAGGGGGCGAGACAAAGACCGTCGTGACCGTGACCGGCTGTCCACCAACCCCGACAACCGGCACGTTGGACACTGCTAGGAGACCTTCACTTTCACAGCTTAGTCTTCTTAGTCCATCTTCACATATCAGGTGAGTCTATCTCTTCACAGGTGAACAAAGTCATTGAGTAGTAGTGTCACTCTATATTTCTTTTGCAGTAATCCTGAGGTTCAGGAGGAGAATCTCCTTGCAATAAGCATTGAGCCAGCAAACCTTAGCATCAAGGAGACATTACTGGAAGGGACTTTTGGGAGGATTGCTCGAGCACAACTCAATGGCAATGATGTCTATATCAAAGCCTTGGGAGGTGAGACCACCCCTGTCCACAAGCATACTCCCTAAGCCTGTATAGCTCTACATTTTCCTTGGTTTTGCTTCACAGATGTTGCATCAGAGAACCAAGTCACAATCTTCAAAAAGGAAGGTTCCCGATTCCTTTCCCTGCAGCATATTAATCTCCTCGTTCCAGAAGCAGCTGTGCTTTTGCCACCAATTCTCATCTACGCCTGGCCAGAATATGGAAATTTAAAAAAGTATGGCTCCCCTTATTAAAACAAATATATAAATTTTTTATTTTGTAGTGAATGCATTTTCAGAAGCATACTTGGGTTGACATGGAGATGGTAAACTGTAAAATTGTTGGTAGTGAAAGATCTTAATATCTTAGATTAACGGGATAAAAAGAAACGAACAAGCAGGATTCTTTCATCAAAAAATGAGAAATTTGCTGCACGAAAAGCTGTGTAATAAGAGGCAGAATAGGATTTGGAAAATCATTCCCAAACAGACTGTAAAAAGACCAAATTAGGGACATGGTAAGAAACAGTGATGTAATTTGAAAAAGAAGCCAAGTACAGTTCTGTCCTCTCTTACTGTATTTTATCACTCCTATTGTTCCTCAGTCACTGAAAAAATATCACCTTGATCTCTATTATTGATGTCCTGACACATGAGCAAGATAGAGACTTTATTTTCTTCAAAATTTGTGAAAAAGGCATATTTTCATGGTGAGTTCTCTCATTTAAATTTGCTCACTGAGTTTTGTGCACTTCGAGTTCCACTAGGATTTAGAGACATCTGCAATCACCAATTTCTCTGGATCTCATGTCTTCGACTTCAACCAGGGTTGAGTCTTCAACCAGGGCAGAGGAGACCTAAGCTACCAGTTCCTTTGTGGTCATCAAAGCTGATTAATCCATTTATGACATGCTAAGAATAAATCCCTATGACTGCAGGGAAAGAGCTGCCAGCAAAAATCCTGAAGTGGCACATAATTGCAACCTTGCACATGACATCTTTGTCCTGCTCATAATGTACCTCTGTTCTGATGTCCCTCATTCTTTTCCTATCATTATTCAAAGGTATTAAAGTAATCATTTAATAAAAGATTGCATATAAAGTAACATAGAAGCATGGAGTGTTGATTTTGAGGCAATTCATAGCATGTTGAAGAAACTTGGTTGATGAATGAACTGTGGTGGAATGAACTGATAAACTGAAGCCCCACATCACTGAAAAGGTGTCTGCTAATGGACAGGGTTTCTCCAGATTCTTTCCTTAGTGTTTCTGATGCTGACATTTGGTTCTTAACGCCCAAAATATGTGAGCTTCACTATCTAGTGGTTTTTTCCTCTCAGCCCTTGTTCACATGTTGTGAAGCACATGCAATGTTGACCTTTGCTGACATTTTCAGATACCTGGTGGAGCTGAGAAGTGGTGGAACCGAGGTGGGTTCGACCATCTCGTCGAGGTGCCTCTCGACTCTAGAAGTGGCAATTCTCTCCCTCCAATACCTGTCGGGTGTTCTTTACCTCCACGAGCAGGGTTTCATTCATCGAGACCTAGCGACGCGCAATGCCACGTCAGTTGATCCCATCTGTCTTTCGTGCTTTGGTGGTGGGGATTATTGGCAATGTTTTATCGTTTCTGCCACTATCACAGCCTGAGCGATGGCCCACGCGTAACTGTGACGGATAACGCCCTGTCGAGAGATCTCTTTCCCGGTGATTATCATTGCCTGGGGGACAACGAGAACCGTCCCGTCAAGTGGCTCGCCTATGAAAGCCTCTCTCATCGCAAGTTCACTCCCCTCTCCGACATCGTGCGTTCATCTCTTCTGTTCGTCAAAGGGTCCATTTGTGTTTTTCCTCTCCTTTTTTACATTTGATCATTTCTCTTTGTCGATGGAACAGTGGTCCTATGGCGTCGTAGTGTGGGAGATTCTGACCCTGGCGCAGCAGCCCTACGCCGAACTGGACCCGTTCGAGGTGAAGAACGTCCTCAAGTCTGGTCATCGCCTCTCGCAACCCAAGAACTGTCCCGATCAACTGTGAGCACCGGTCCCTCTTGTCCCGTGTTGTTACCACTTATCGAGCAAAATCTCATCTTCCCACCTTTTTTTTTTTGTTCTCACAGCTATCGACTCCTGACCTTCTGTTGGTCGCAGAAACCGGAGGAGAGACCATCCGGTCAGCAGATACGACAATGCCTCCTCAACTTCCTTCAGCAGCTGGACAAGTTTGTCTGATTTTATTATGTGTTCCCATGCAAATTGCATTTTGATCTCTGATTTATGAGGTTTTTTTTACTGGATCTGACGATAAAGGCTGTTTTGCTTTTCCTTGTGAATCTGTGAGCATTTCTTTTCATTCAGCTCAAAAAAACATTACCTTGCTTCACTGCACCAATCAAGTTGCCTTTCCCTGATTATGATTGAGTCGAGATGCTGTTCAGCTTTCTCTGGAACAACTTTTGAACTGATGAAAAGCTCTGAGAGCTTTTCTGCCAAAAGGATTGATTCTTATGTATTTTGCAGCAGAATTATTTCAATTAAAAAAATGAATATGTTGGTTCATTCTTTACACACACATCTATTTCCCCCACTCTTTTGGTCATGTGAATTCCATGTCTATATGGAAAATTAATTAACACCTCTGTATGGAAATGGAAAGACTGCTTTGAAAGGAGCACCAAAGATACGAAATGCCTTTTCAGTAGTTAAAAAAGTGTATTATTATCACATATTTTGACAAGCTGAAATTCAATCGGGATTTGCTTGAGAAAAGTCATGGCACCTCTCTAGTTAGATGCCAATGGACTCCATTTTTTATTATATGTCTTGTCTTAAATACATTTTCCTAATAAATTTTCAATTTGACGTTGCTTTTCACCCCATTGCTCGGGTCTCTCTTCCCTTTCTCATGGGGTTTGGCTAGTTCCCTTGAACTGCCATACGGATTTGTCGCTCGAGAGAAGGAAAATTTTACGGGGATGTGACCAGACACGAGGCGATTTAGGTCGTAAAGACGACAACCATACAGGTACCATGTAGTGACCTTCGAGCGGTACAGAAGCTCTCTTTCGTTCATGTCCTCGAAAGGCCTTCCGTTTCGACAGGTTTACCACTCGGGCAGAGCAAAAAGTTTGGGAGAGGAGAGATCCCTCACCTATGGCGCCTCGACTCGCACTGCGCGCGATTCCGTCGTGGCCCACTGGGGACGATCAGAGTGACATCTCGAGAATCAAGAATGAACTGAGACCCGCGACGTCGTCACGCACGGATCCATCCATTCCGTTGTAACTTCATTGCAAGGCGAAGGATGGTCTCTCGCTGCGGTGCAGCCATGGATGCGGTGTTAGCTTCGTCGACGGTGACGACGACGGGACGAAAATCATGGTTCGACACGAAAATCGACGAATGACGAGCGTCCCCGTTTCCCAGAGTGACTCGACGAAAAGGTCAGCGACTTTGGTCGACGAGACGACGACGAAACCGAAATCTGCAGATCGAGTCAGCCCTGCATAGGCTCAACGGCTGCACTGCTAGCCGACGTCTCTCGGTGCGGATTCCATCCGTTTCCTCCTCGCTTTGGCACGCTGAATCGACCCGAGGCAAGACAACCGCGTCGGTTGGTTGCCAGTCGCATGTCGGGTTTCGAACTCCGACAGTTCGATATCGCGACATCCCGAGGGATAAAATACTCTGCGGAATGGTCTGTAATCTAACAGGATGAGTCATCTTAAAACTGAATTACACTTCTGATTGTTAAGGTAAATGAGCAGCCAAATTTTGAATGTTTCCTCGAATGGATGAGACTTAGACTTATCCGAAGTCGAAGATATCTGTTCCACATTTGCTCTGACGGTCTCGTTCATTTTATATACACGAATAGACATACGGAGTGGGGCAAAAGTTACTATATAGTTATTGTATATTGGAAATAACTGTTTTGCCCATTTCGTCCTCTATGCTTCACGGCTACTGCTGGACTAAGATCAAAGCTTTTCAAATTACGTTGCACGATCATTTTTCTGAGTGGTGTTTTTGTTTTAAACAATGGTCAATATAATGTTAGAAAGTAAACTATGTCCTATATTCATCAACTGTATAGTGACTTTTGCCCACTCTATTGGTCCTCGGTTCCCCTTCGTTCCTGGTGAGTTTCCCGCTTCTTTCTTGGGTCTTTGGGGCATTATGGCGTTCTTACAGCGCATGCTCATCGTGCTTGTTGTGTGCCCCGCGCGGTATAGTCAGATGTGGATGATTCAGGAGAGTGGTATTGAGAACCGAGGATTGCCGGGATCAGTGAAGATACGTTCCTCGAACAGGTTCCTCGGCAGGGCCTTTGGATTCGGGTTGAGGAACGGGCCACCATTACTAAAGCCATCTCTTAAACGGTCATCTGCAATCAAACCATTGCATGATTGAATGAAACAAATTCAATAACTCCTTGTAGGGCTCCTTCTCCGGAGAGGACGATGAATTGACGCCCCTGTAGAGGCCATCTCTGAAGAGGACGAGGAACTGATGCCCCCCCCCATTCAGGCGCCACCTCTTGAGCATGATGAATTACTGCTCCTTGCAAGCGCCATCATTTCCAAGCCACAGAACTTGGCGAAAGCTTCGATGAATGGTCAAGCAAGGAACGATTCTCCAACCTTCACTGACTCAATAAATTCAATACGCATCCCTTTCGCTTTAAACACAGCCTCAATTCGTCAAGGCATGCTTTCCAATAATCTTCGACACTTTTCTTCGTCGATCTTGTTCCCATCTGTTTGAATCCGCTCCCACACCTCCAGCATACTCTTGGGCGGTTCCTCGTACTGGTTGATGCGCGGCTTGAAGCGTGCCCAGAGATACTCGAAGGGGTTTAACCCTAATCCGGGCAAGGTGAGTCCGCTGGACTCACTACGA